TTAATACTCATTGAAACCAAAATCAACTAATAAAACAAAGAAACAAGATCTTCTATTAGATATATAAGGATATAAGGTCAGAAGATGGTGATGGAACTACACGTCTGGGGGAAACCCGAAGAACTAGCTATAATCAGTCCAAATTGTCTTATAATTTCATGGTATATGTCTCTTACAATCCCATTAGATAAATTTAAAATTATAACATCATCAAATAATAATATTTCTCAGAATGGTGAATTACCAGTACTTAGAGTCGAGGGTGAACAATATAATGGTGTTTCTGATATCATTAGATATTTGGTTGATCAAGGATATGATTTAAACTCTGGGTTAACAAAAGAGGAAAAAGCATTGAATGATGGGATTTCAATTTTTTTAATGGATAAATTTAATATTATAACAGATTATTTCATCTTTTTAAATAAATTAAATTATGAAAATTATACAAGATCTATATATGGACAATATTTATCATTCCCATTACAATATAATACTCCTTTGGGTTATAGATCTCAAGCAAAATCAAATTGTTCAAGGGTTGGATTAACTGTGGAGGATAAAACTGAAGTTGAAGAGGAAATGTTACAAAATGTTCCAACTGTTTCCAAAGTACAACAATTAAAAAATGAATCATTAATTGAAGATAAATTAATTATGAAGAATTCTTTAACAAATATGAAATGTTTAAATTTATTGGATTCTTATATTGAAAAATTATTTAATTTACATAAAGAATTGGGTACCTCTCCTAAAACAACTTTCTTCAATTCCTTATCAACAGCAGATTTAATCCTTTTATCACATTTATTTATTCAAACAAATGATAAATTCCCAGATCAATTTATTAAAAAATTCTTAGATTTAAAATATCCAGGTTGGTTAGATGGGAAATTTAATATATTCAATGAAAAAATTAAACCAATGATTAATCAAATAAAATTAGAATCTCCTGGATTTAATGATTCTCCAAATTTATTGAATTTTATTAGGTATGCTTTGATATAGGTGTGTTTTTCTTGTATATATGAACATTTAATAATTTAATGTAGTGATACATCAATAGTCATAACCATCTTTAATCAAGCCAATACTTTAATTAATTCCAAGCTTCAATAAATCTTTAATAGATCTAAAGATCTATTTTAATTCTTCTTTGGTTTATAAACTCCATCATGAACAATATAATAAACAACAGTTCCATCATCATTAACAATCCCCAATACCAACCTTTTAACACCCTGTAACTCCTTAAACACCTGGTCTAACATATTTGGTGTTATTTCATCCTTGAGTTTTATAGGTAATACAAATTCTTTATTTAAATTAGTTTCATCATCTGATATTAATTTTTCCTTTGGAAAACCTTGTAATATTGTTATGTTTGATAATTTGATTGGTGTAACTTGAGTCCATAATTGTTGGAATAATAAGTTTTGTTGGACTTGATCAACAAGAGGAATTGACATTGTAACTAATAAATTTATTTAAATCAAGATCTAATCAATTAAAATCTAAAACTAATAAAATTCATGATGAGTATAATTGAATATAGTATTAATTTTTTATTCTGCTTATGTAATTGATTACCAATTGAGTCACATGACTAAATAAGGACTAGTCCCATTATTAATTTCTATTAGTCTCTATTCCTTCCCAATGCCTCCTCCTAGAATACTGGCCCAGTAGAAATTACGGTAAATCCTCCTGTTTACGCTCTGCCTAATTCTAGCCTTCCAGCCAGCATCCCTGTTTAAACCCTTCTACTTAAAGTAACCTCAAGCTAATTCTAGACCATTCTTCAACCCCAGTTTAGCCTTTTAAATTTAAAAGTCTCATGAATGACAAAATTAAAGTCTCAGATTTTTCCCAATATTTGCATCGCTGGTAACGGATCTTTGAATTATAAATATTAAAACAATTTTGAATTTGTTGAACGTCTACTTTCTTTTACAAACTACTATTTTTATTCATTCATTAAACTATTCATAATGTTTAGATCACGTATACCTATAATTTCCAAAAGATTTATAACAACTTCAGAATCAAATGTTAAAGAATTAGAAAAATCAATAATATTAGGTGGTGATTTAACAAAACAGATAAAGTCAGATACAACAACACATAAAGATAATTTTAGATTATTAGATGAAAGTATAAGAAAAACTGAATTATTATCAAAACAACATAGAGAAAAAATATCAAAATTACCACCAAATTTTGCAAAAAATCAAAATATTTCATTATCAACAAATCAAGAATTAAAATCTATATTAGGGGAATTTCAAGCACCAATTCGTTATGCATTTGCTTATGGATCAGGAGTTTTTTCCCAGGGGTATATGAATAAAGATACTCAAACAGATTTAATATTTGGTGTTACATATCCAGATCATTGGCATTCAATAAATATGAAATTAAATCCAAATCATTATTCATCATTAAAATATTTTGGTTCTTCAACTGTGGCAAAATTTCAAGAAATTGGTGCAGGAGTTTATTTCAACCCGTATGTGGAAATTAATGGGAAATTAATTAAATATGGTGTTGTTTCTATTGATACTTTGGTTAAAGATTTAGCTCATTGGGAAACTTTTTATCTTGCAGGAAGATTACAAAAACCTGTAAATATCTTGAAAGATGATCCAATTATAAAATTTTGGAATCAACAAAATTTAAGATCTGCTGCAACATTAGCTTATGGAAATATGTCACATGAAACCGAGTTTAATGAATTTGAATTTTTTAAAAATATAACTAAATTAAGTTATCAAGGTGATATTAGATATAAATTAGGTGCAGAAAACCCTAAAAAAATTGATAAAATTGTGGAAAATAATTATCAATATTTTCAAGAATATTATAAACCTATATTAAATGAAGTTATAAATCAAAAACATTTTGTATTGCCACCTGGGTTTACATTGGATAATGCAAATTCAAAATTACAAGATATTATTTTCAGGAATTCAACAAAACAAACATTAAAGGGAATTTTCACTGCTGGTTTGAATAAATCTATAAAATATGCTTGGGCTAAAAAAATGAAGTCAAGAGGTTAAAATTTAGCTAACAATTCACTAGATTACATTTATTTATTATATACATAAGCTTTCAATGATTTCTTATAAATAGATTATGAATTTAGATGTATAAAGAACTTGTAGTTATAGCGGCTAACAATTACTACAAATATTAAGACGTATTTGAAAATGAGAAATGATTTGAAGGTATAGATCAATTGATCAGAGATCAATATATGAATCCATACCAAAATCATTCATTTATTAATATATAAACTAGTTTGGTATGTCAAGCGTATAAAGACACTTAATATAATGACTTTATGAAAGACATCATGATTAGTTATATGACATTTAACCCCAATTTATTTTAAGTGATCAAATAAATTTATAATAGAATAAGAATATAAGTAAACTTTCATGGTCATTTTCGCTCCTATATTTTACCGCCCATCATCAGAAAAGGACATTCACTTTCAATTGTTAAACAATTGTTAGTTGATCCGTTAATATAATTCTGATGATAATATTAGTATCTAGGAAATTTTAAGATAATTCTTGATCTTTATATAATTTTCTAAAAAAGTTGTTTACAAACATGAAATTGACGGCGGCTAATTTTGTACACGTATCATTTAAAATGGAACGATCTCAATAGCAAAGTGGTTGATCATGTTATGATTTGATTTATCATGAGTTGATTATTTAGTGAACTACAATATCATGATGATTTATCCAACACGTACCAATATTAAAATGAAAATTGATCAGCTTTAATGTATAGATTGAATTGTAGTTTGTAAACAAAAACAAAATCTATAACTTGATCAACATTTATTAAAGTAATATATGTAATGATTAATATCAATTGAGTTCATCATGAATAATTTAATCGAAAACTAATTGGATAAACATATAATAAACACGGAATTTATAAATGCCTCATGTGATGATGTACAATTTGCAGTTGAACAGTTGAACAAATTATATCCAATTGAGCACTAATACACAGCTTAATACTTAATAAACCTAGAATGGAAAAAGCAAGGAGGAAAGTAAGGCAATCAACTTGTATAATTAAAACTTTCAGTTCATTAAAAAAATATCAATAAGAAACGTAAAAGATAATAGCTGGAAGATTTTATTATAAAAGGAGCTGATCATTAAACATGGCTGTGACTTAATTAGGCAATGATTATGAAGCGTTTGGGAGATCTCAATTTTCAAAAATAGTAAAGTGCCCGATAAGGCTATTTAATATGGATATCATTAAGATCTTGAAATTATATTATCAGCTTTTAGCTTTCAAAATAGTTTTGGTTAAAGAACTGGCATTTTAATTTCAATCCATGAAAGTTTCATCATGTATGTATTGATGGTATAAGAGTACGTATACCTCAGATACAACTTCCAGACAACATCTTAATTATATCTACAAATATATTCAAAAATGGAAAATGATTTAATGTATATAGATCAAATAGATCAGATCAGATCAATTATAGAAATCCATACAAAAATCACTCATTTATTATTGATACACATATCTTTTAACAATATATAAACCATATATTTTATAATGAATAAAAGCTTATGATCATTAATCACATATTTAAAATATTCATCAAAAAAACAAAAAAAATATTGCTTCAAAAATTTTGACTTCCAAATTAATAGACAAGCTCATATCTAACAATTTATCAGTTTCAAAAGCGGACACTAAAAAAGAGATTGTATTAATGTCCACAAAAGACGAGAAGGTTAGTTTTTTTGTATGGGGCGTGCCCCTAAGCTTGAAA